AATTGACACAAGAAACTATTTTAAAATTTAATTTCTAAATATAAATTTTAAAATATTAAAATATTAACATAAAAATAATTTTAAATAATATCAAACTTAATGTTGTATCTAGATTTAAGATTGGCATTTATAGATATGTATCGTATTTGATTTGATCCGATCCATACACTTTTATTACCAACAAGCTACATAGTTGTTGGAAACTACGTATAATTTTTATTTTTTGTTGCATTAATTTAAATATAACTTTAGCAAGCAAATTAGTAATTTTATTATATGTATACTAACCTTCATGAAAATAGCCTCTCCTTGAGGAACTTCAATGAACATATCTCCTTCAACATGGTCAACACCTAAGATGGAAAAAATGAAAACGAAAAATTATTTTTCTAACTAGCAGTGATGGATACAAGATTTATTTTCAAGGGTATCAACTTATAATATATATAAAATTGTAAACAAAATTTTGAAATAATAAATTACTATATTATTGTAATTGTTCACGATAAATTTTAATATCTTAAAAAAATAATTGCATCAGTACTAATACTATTAAATGAATCATTCTCAATATATCTAAGCAATCATCCAACCAAGAATTTTTTACAAATAAAATATTTAATTCTTACCAATTCAATCAACTCTGTTGTTAATAAAAAAATTCTAATAATAGCAAGATAGGATAATTTTATATGTCTTTGGATTGATTAATTACCTGGGAAATGGGGCGCATCTTTAATAACATGAGGCAAATCAAAGTTGATGCCCTTAAGTTGTGGATATTGAGAAACGATGAGCTTAAGATTTGTGCCCAATCCGCCTCCCACATCTACCAGTTGGTTAATGCCTTCAAACCCCTTATATACTCCCAGAATTTTTTTCATGACTTTGGCAGTGAGGTTGCCCATTAAATTGTTGAAATTGCCACCTATTTCATCATTTTTGGCAGCAAGCTCAAAAAACTGCATCCCATGTGCCCTCACAATGGGTATGGCGCCACCTTCCAATGTTGTTTCTTTCCAGTGATACCTATATATATAATTAAATTTAATCTAAGTTGAATTCAAGAATAAACTGTAACAAAAAAAAAAAAGAATATTAGAAGGATTTCGTCCATGGATGCAAATAGAGTGCTCATATATTTGGAATCCTGATCTAAAACATACTCCACCAGTTAAGAATATAAATTTTTAATTTAGAGGTGTCGAATTCAAATCTTAAAAAAAAAAAAATTATGGGATAATAGAATAATACCAACATTCATGAAAATGTTTGTCGGCGGAAATGTTCAGGGCCGGAATAATGGACATTCCATCATCATTGTGAAGGAAACATCTTCCAATTGGTGCTAAACCAAATAATCTTTGAACATGTCCATCTTTGCCAGTGGCAAGATCGCATGTTAGGATAGAGTGACTTGCTAGAACCCGAAGAATGCGGTCAATGAGTGATGGAGCATCAGGGTTCGTTGTAGGAAGATGAGAGGCAATCTCAGTAGGTGAGAGCTTGCAACCGGCAGCTGCAGGGCTAGCTTTGGCAATGATCTCTAACAAATCAAGATCGATGGCAGCTTTCAAGACCATAGGAAGAACTCCAGATATAGTTATTTGCGTTGCCCGATACCATTCCTCTTCTTCATTTGATGTAATATCCTTTTGATCGTCTAGCATTGAACTCATGCTTAATTTCTTGAGTATGGATATATGTGATCAAAAAAGAAGAAAAGTGAAGTGATCAAAAAATGGTCTTAATTAACCATGTTTTTGGGACAGTACCACCGCAAGGGAGAGATTTATATAGAAAAATTTTCACAATTAAAACTGCAATTGGAGATTAACAAAAGGATTGTCGAAGTTAAAATTTAAATTTTAAATTATTAAATGTCACATCTCACGGTTAATTATACAAAGAAACCGAGCTAAACTCCAAAATCATATAAATTAATAGTTGGGTCACTAACAATGCCGTCCAAAATGAGAAAGAAAATATATGTGCCAAATACTTTCTTGCTTCATTTGTTCTCGCGGCTCGAGCAGTAACTGATACTTGAGGTAACTAATTAATACCTATTTATTTAATTCATAGTTGACCAAGATTTGCTATCGGTAACGGTCTTACCTTTAAGCCAACATTTTAGACCCAAAACAATTGAAAACGAAAATAATACCCAAAACATCTCAATCAATTGATTTTTCAAACATCTTAGCTAAGATGTTTGAAAATAAAAGAAAAATGTTGAATAAAACCTACATTAACCTAAACATCACAATCAATTAGTATTTAAAACATCTTAGCTAAGATGTATGAAAATAAAAAATATAAAAGAAAAATAATGAATAATATATATATATACATACATATATATATGTATATATATCATTTACAGTTGAAATTTGAATATATACAATTATTTTTGTGTTGATTTTATATTAATTAAAAATCTTCATTTTTTATGATTTTAAGAATTATTATGAGTTTGAAATTATTATTTCATTTTTGTGTTGAAATTATTATTTTTTTATATCACTTGTAGTTTTAAGTTTTACTAGAAAAATACTTACGCGTTGTTGTGGGTAACAATTTTTTGTTTCGTCATATCTATTTATATAATTTTTTTATAAAACTTATCTAATTAAAAATTTTTAAAAAAAAGGAAAGCTAAAAAAAACCAGAAAAGACATTCCAATATCTTAATTGGCGTTTTTTTCATTAAATTTATCTAATAAAATGAATAAATACAAAAAAAATTTAAAAGTAAAAAACAGGAAAAAAAAAACAAACAACAAAAATAAAAAAAACTCACAAGGATTCTAAATTGAAATATCATTTTCAGTTTAAAATAATTATTTTTAAATTAAGATAAAAAAACTTAATTAATGCAATACATTTATATGTGTGAAATTAAATAAATAATAAAATATATATTTATATATTATATTTCGAAATGTTTAAAAGCAAAACACCATAAATATGCTTCTGATCTGACTTTTTTTTTTAAAGAATTTTACCCATCTTAAGGCAATTTGATTAAAAAAATCATATCTTATCAAATCGAAATAGATTATAATTTATTGGATACAAATTATTTTAAGATATCTATTAATTGACACATTTCATTACAAAATTTATGTAATTAGAAAATACAAAAAAAAATACGGAAGAAAAAAAACCAAATGAGGTGAGATGTGGATACCCTTATTAGTTTTTTTTTTTTCAAAAAATTACTTTAATAAGAAAGACAAAAACACAATAACAAACAAAAAAAAAAAAGCTCATTGAGTATTTCGTAAACATTCTAATTAAAGTAATTATTTAATTAAAAAAAGATAAATTTAATGACTTATAGGAGGTGAATTATTTTGTTATTTTTATCTATAAGTTTATTTGGTTTCAAAATTTATTTAATTGAAAAAAGGAAAGAAATAAAGTAAATTGGGATGCCACATGGATAAATACATTTGTTTTTTTTTCATAAAATTTATCTAAATTAAAGATAAAAAAGCAAAAAAAAAAAAAAGAGAAAAAGAAAGAAAAAAAATATAGAGTAATGTGTCGAGACCTTAATGAGGGTTAAACAAAAGTCAATAAATCAAATTTATATAATGGATTGATTACATCTTAATTATGTATAAATATAATATTTTTAATAAATTAACATATTAAATACTAATTTTATTAATATAAAATATATATTAAAATTAAATTAAATAAATAATTCAAAATATAATTTAATATATAGTCAAGAGAAGATGAAATACCATAAATCCGTCTCTAAATCAATCTTGATTTTTAATAAAATAATCCAATTAAAAAATAAATGAAGAAAACAAATTTTAAAATAAAAATTAAAAGAAAGAAGAAAGTCGAGTTGTCATGTAACATTAACAATGATGAATTTTTCTAATATCATTTTTCTTTAAAAAATTATCAAGTTAAAAAAATATAAAACAAAAAAATAATTTTTTTATTAAAAATATCAAATGGATCGCATATTTAAAAAATTAAAATATTAAAAATATCTAAATATTTAAAAAAAAAGTAAATTGAAAAAAAAATTAAAAAAATAACTTGACAAATGTATACCCTTCGTATCAAGTTGGTGAGGCAAAAATTTTTAAATTTTTATAAAAATATTTATTTAATATAAATTAAAAATAATTAAAAAAATAAAATACAACACTTTCTCTTAAAAAAGGTTTTAAAATTAAATTGAAAGAAAAAGAAAATAGGTCCAAAAATTTTTTTGAAATAAAAAATACTTATTAAATATATAAAAATAATAATAAATTAATATAAATAAATAGCTTATATTTGATGTCAAATGGATCTCATATAAAAAAATAAAAATCCAAAACATATTTATTAAAATAATTTTTAAAAAGTAAATTTACAAAACAAAAAAAAAATTGACATATAATGGGTCACACCTAAAAAAAATCAAAATCTTAAAAAATATTTATTGAATATTTAAATTTTAAAAAAAATTAAAAAGAAAAAAACAGTGAACAAGTGCAGGATTTGCAGGGCATTCATAGAAAAATAAAAAAATTATCAATAAGTGATTGATTTAATCGGTTAAAGTTATCTTTTTTGATAAAAAAATTTTAAGTATAAGTCTTAACGATGGTAATTTGTTGGGATCATCTTGAATGTAAATCTATAGTCATCTGTTTTAAACTGTCAAATACGACACATCTTATCGTAATATAAAAAATTGAACAACTTATTTATCTCTGAATTTTTTCTTATCAAAAATAAAAAATTAAAAGACATCCGAATTAGGTTCATATAAAAACAAAATTTATAAAATAAATAGATTTTTTAAAAAAATTGTATAAAAAATTTAGTAAATTGGGTCTCACTAAAAAAATAAAATATGTAAAAATATTTTTTATAATTTTTTAAAAAGTTACTTTAAAAATTAAAAAAATAAAAAAAATTATGACACATGACAAAAAATCCGTACATTTGCACAATTAAAAGTATAGATGACTGCCCTTTAAAAAAAAAATCTATAACAAATAAATTGTGACGTGTCAAAATTGTAACAACAAAACTTTCTTAAAATCTCTCTTTTCTCCAATCGGATTCCCTATAATCCAGCCACCGCTCTTCCGCTCTCCTCCGCCGTGTTTGCCGCCTCACTGGAGACCCACCAAGCAAGGCGGTTCGTAATCCAAAATCCCAACTTCACTTACTACCTGGTACTCTTTCTCTTGTTATGTGTTTATTTCTGTGATTAAAAATGCTTGCTTTAGCAATTTAACCCCAAAAGAAGGTTCCTTTTTTCTTTAAATTTTTTGTTGTTTTTTTTTATTAATAAGTAATGTAAAACTATTCTAATTAGTCCACTTTGAATTTCATGCTCTGATTTTGAATGAAAAAAAATGTTATTCTGAATTATAATTGCCTTTTTCTCCTGATGATTCCTGAACTTTCTTGTTGATAACCCACTTTGTTAAAGTTTATGCCTTCTAACATTGGTTGTTCTTGTCTTGGCAGTTTATTTTCTGTTGATTAAGCTTAAACCAGAATCATGGGTAAGCAAGATTTTTTTGGTTTAGTTCATTATTATTCATACTTTTTTTTGCTTTTTTGTAAATTTGGTTTTTTATTTCTTATTTTGAGGATTATAATAATTTTCTTTTATTTTGTTGTTCTTATTCTGCCAGAGAGTAAGTCACGCGGAAAAGGCGAAAAGAATCTTGGTTAGCAAAAATTCAGCAAAAACATCAATCGTGGCTTCAAGACCAGGTAACATTTGATTTTATATTGTTGTTAGAAAAATGTGTTTGCTGCGCCTGGAATTGCAATAATTTATTTGTTTAATTGAAATATTTTCATTAAGAAGTTAAATATCCTCCATGGATTGGTGGACCATGCCATTGAATTTATCCAATAATCATATGTAGCATCGAGGAGTCAGAGTCGTTAGGAGGACAAAAGTGTGTGACAAGAAGCATCACTCTTTCTGTTATATGATGTCAATTTGATGATTACAGCAATCATGGAGGATGAAGAGAAAATCAGGGGATTTAAAGTTAAAAAAAGGAAAATTCACCAAAGTTTTTTAAAGAAAATGATGCTGTCCAACGAGTTAGTGAGTTGAAGTAAGAGGAAGATCATGATGTTAATGAATCAAAGATGGTTAAAGGGAAGAAGAATTTGAAAAGAAAATCGAAAACTAAGTTTGAAGAGTTTCTTGAAATGAAGATGCCAAATTCTGACATGGTTTCACAAGAGGACTTGGAGTTGGAGAGGAAACTTGCATAGAAACTCAAAGGTAAAAGGTGGTAAATTAAGGGGAGATAATGATGGTCGAGGATGATATCACAGAAGACTCTACTAGTGAAGCTTCTGAGCTGAAGGAGCATCCAGAGACACCATTGGAAGAAATTCCGGCCAAGGCACCATTACCAAAGAGGTGTAGAAAGTGAAAGTCTTTGCCGCAAGGACAAGAAGGTGACATGGCTGGTGAAACAGCCCTTGGTGTATCCCAGCCTTCTGAAAGCCATTATGCAGAGGTAGCATTAGTAGAAGCTTCAGCCAAGGCACCTGCAATGGAGGGCAATGTAAAATATGTAGCTCCTAACTTGAGATCTCGTGCAAGAAATGAATCTAAGGAGCAGACTCAAATGCGCAGACCTGTTCGAGATATGAATATTTGGTTTTGATAAACTTCAACATTTTCACATTTCATTTTCTGAATTTGACGTGCTGCTTATTTTTCACCATGTTCCGGGTCTTCTTAATACGCTGTCTGAATCAAACGTACAGGAGAAACGGCCACAATTGTGTATGCTGCTAAGCTATTTATAGCTCTCTGTTTCAATAACAATTCTCTATATCATGCCTTCTGAATTTTATTGCAATAGATTTAAACCATATCCGCAGCCTTACACACAAAAAAAAAAAAAAAAATTAGGCCGTTAGATTTATCTGTTTGATCACTAGTGGATGAAACTGGTACTGGTGCTTTGATTAGGCTGTTAGATTTAAACCTTTAGTGCATGAAATTTTGTGCCTTTAAAAAATAAATCGAAGGCTGCATATATATTCCCGAAAATACAACATATTTTTTAAAAAATCCAAAAAAAGAAGTAAATCAATTGGCCTTTAGGGCATATTATGCCTAAAAACTACTTCATCAAGAAACACAGTTATTCAAATGATAATAAAAAAAGAAATTTCTTTCAATTTTTCTTCTCTCTCATTTTGGGCATAAATCATGCAGGGATCTCCAATGTCTCATGAGCCTCTCACTTGGCACTGGCAAGTTGGGTGCGGAGCAGCTTGGCAGCAGCAACCATGTTGCTGAGGGCTGGTTTCACCTCGGGATACTTGCGAGTCTTGAGACCACAGTCAGGGTTAACCCACAAGATGTTGGTCTCAAGCACCGCAAGCATCTTGTTAATTCTGTCGGCAATCTCTTCGGTTGATGGTATTCTGGGAGAGTGGATATCATAGACACCAGGGCCAATTCCAGCGCCATACTTCACTCCTTCACGGAAGACTGACAGGAGCTTCTCATCTGAACGTGAGTTCTCGATAGTGATGACATCGGCATCCATGTCAATAATTGAGTGAATGATATCATTGAAGTTGGAGTAGCACATGTGGGTGTGGATCTGTAAGGTGTTTAAAGATGAGACCAATGAGAATCATGGTGATCATAGAGATAACATTACGTGAATAAGAAAATTTTGAGAGGTGAAAAGGGAGGAACTATAAAAACCTGGGTAGTGTCCTGTACACCACAGTTGGTGATCCTAAAGGAGTGGACGGCCCATTTCAAGTAGAAGGCATGCTCGGACTTCCTAAGAGGCAACCCCTCTCTCAAAGCAGCCTCATCAATTTGGATAACATTGATACCAGCCTTCTCAAGATCTTCCACTTCATCCTTTATGGCCAAGGCAATCTGATAGCAAGTCTCAAATCTGGAAATGGCAATCAGAGAATGTCAAAACATATTCACATTTGAAAGTAAAAAAGTGCTGCTAGAAATGCAATATTTCTGACCATTTTTTCCCTATTAGTTTTCTCGTGCATACCTCGGCTGATCATTTCTGACAAAGGACCAGTTGAGGATGGTAACAGGGCCAGTTAGCATTCCCTTCATTGGACGTTGAGTCATGCTTTGGGCAATAGATGACCAGAAAACAGTCATTGGCTTCGGGCGGCTAACATCACCATAGATGATTGGTGGCTTGACACAGCGAGATCCGTAAGATTGCACCCACCCATTAACAGTAAAAGCAAAACCAGACAACTGCTCACCAAAGTACTCAACCATATCGTTTCTCTGCACAATTTTAAGTAATAGTTAAGTCGCTTGTCAAGAACTAACCATATATTCCATTTATACTGCAAAAGGCCAAAACAAAAAGGAACACTCACCTCAGGCTCTCCATGAACCAGGACATCAATGTCAAGCTCTTCCTGAAGGTCAACAACCTTCTTAATTTCCTCCTTAATGGCTTTAACATAATCATCCTCAGAGATCCTGAAGGGAATAAGAGCACACTAGTTAAAAGAAGAGTAAAATGTGACATTTTATAAGAAAGATATCAAGGAAAATTCCCGGATTAACTCACTTTTTAGCCTTGAATTCACGACGAACTCTCCTGAGTTCCAAGGTTTGAGGAAAGGATCCAATGGTTGTGGTGGGGAGGATTGGTAGGTTAAGCTTTTTCTGCTGGGCATCCAGTCTAGCACTGACATTAGTTGCACGGCGGTGGTCAGAGCCCTTCAAAGCAGCAGCCTGGGAATGCAAGCAAAGTAAAACATGGTAAGCGAAGAAAGAGTTTCACAATGAAAAGATTACTGCAGAGCAGTCACTTGAAAGACAATTCGAATTTTAGTTTTTTAGAACACTTACAGCCTTTTGAACAGCCTCATTGGTCACTCGTGGGGAGGACTTCCTTGAAGCCTGAGCAGCAGCATTGGCAGAGAAGAAGGCCTGAACATAGTTGAATAACTAGTAAGTGACAATGATGTCATCTTAATCCTGAGAAAGCATCAAAGACAAAAAAAAGACCATCCCAGAAGGCTTAAGGCCCATCCAGAGATTCTATCCTAGTTCTTAGAAAACTAGCAAAACCAAGTGGCAAAATTATAAGGAGATACCTCATCCTTCTGACCAGCCAATGCCTTGGCAAGTGCATTGACTTCAACAACTTTCTGGGCGGCGAATGCAAGCCAGGATTTGATTTCATCATCCAGCTTAGTCTCATTTACTAGATCAACAGCAGTGTGGAGAAGTGAACAGGAGGTGGACACCACAAGTTTGTCTACACATCAGAAAATTAATTGACAGATATCAGTCTATTATAAATAACAAAATTGCAATATTCACCATGCAATTACAAGCCATAAAATGCAAATGAAAATAGAATACCTTTGCCCACAACAGCTTCAAGCTCCTGCAAGGTGCTAAGAGAAGAAGAAAGATCATTGGCCCAAATGTTCCTTCCATCAACAACTCCAGCAAAGAGGTACTTCCCCTCAGGGAAGTTACTCTTGATCAAATCAATGGTCTTGGTTCCACGAACCAAATCCATACCATAAGCACTAACACCCTTCAATCCAATGAGGGTCTTGTATGCCTCAGCAGTAAGATCAGCAAAGTAGGTCTCAATCAGAACGCTCAAGCCAGAGAGAGTAGATTCCAAATCAGCATAAGCAGCAGTGAATGCTTGCAATTGGTGAGAATCGAGATCCAACACAAGGGTGGGTTCATCGAACTGAATCCAGGAAGCACCAGCTGCCTTAAGCTCAGATATAACCTCCCTGTAGAGAGATTCAATTATATAATAGCAAATTAGAGCAGTTATATTAATAAAAACACAAAGACAAAAAGAGAACCAACTCTTACTTGTAGATAGGAAGGATTTTGGGGAGGAGAGATAGAAGAGAAAAGGTCTTATCAACACCCTTTGCAGGTTTAGACAGCAACAAGTATGAGACAGGGCCAATAAGGACTGGGACAGTGTTTACTCCAAGCTGCATGAGGGACAGAGTATCAGCTTCAAAGTTTCATTATAAGAATAAAAACAACAAATGAGAAGCATAAAACATATGATAAAAATGGGGTACCATAATCAAGTGGGTCTAATTAGTACTCCAAGTCTCACTCAGGACATTCTCAAAAAATCGATCGTACAAGAATACAATTCTAGAGAGCTATAAACTAGTACTAAAGTCTCAGGCAAAATAATGGCAAAAATGAAACCATTCCCTGAACCATGACCCAGTTAACCAAGTGTTCTAAGCCATTGCATAGAAGAAAGTACGCTAAAAGACGTTTATCAGTTAGGTCCAAAGCCTTGAAGCAATCCCAAATTCAGACCATTATAAACTTTCAAGCATTTCGAACAACTTATAAATCCTACAATTTCCATCATAATTCTATGTCATGAAAAGATATGCATGTCACTGCTCTAATTTCATTTGACATCTATACTTACATAATCTTAACATACATCATGATACCTACCTCTAATTCCTAACTGAGCTACTAGCACAAGTATTCATGACAGAAAAAAAATCTACATTGTTATAATATATAGAAAAATTGGACTCAAAGAACATACCGCCTTAGCTTCCTTGTACTCATCCACTGCCTTGTGAGATGCATAAGAAAAGCTAACATCGGGTCCCAGTTCAGGAACAATGAAGTGGCTGAAACAGCACATTGCACAGCATATAAGAATTAGAATCAGAAAACTCAGCATGCACAACAAAGCTAATAAAGTATGACCAAGAATGGCAACTTACTAGTTGGTGTCAAACCACTTGGTCATTTCCATGGCAGGCACAGAGGCATTTCCTCTGGCCATGGAGAAGTAAGTGTCAAATCCAATCTCACCACCATTCCAGCCATATCTAGGTGGAACAGCTCCGAGCATTGATGTGTTATCAAGAACCTGATCATAGTAAGAGAAAGTGTTGCTGGGAATGTACTTGATCCCAGCATCAGCCATCTGTTTCCAGATGGATGACCTGAGATCAGCTGCAACCTTCTGCAAGTCCTCGGCGCTGCTCTTCTTATCCCAGAAAGATTCCAAAGCAAACTTAAGCTCCCTCTTGGGTCCCATGCGGGGATATCCAACAATGTGGGAAGCCATTTCTGAATCAAATAAAAGAACAGACAAAATTCAGCTTCATTATATAAAATCAGATATAAAAGACAACAACTTTGCATGTCCTAAATTCCTGAATTGAAAATCAATGGAATCATAACTAAGATCCATGATGTATCAGTAATTCAGCATTGATTAAGATCAAAAGCTCACATGAATTAATGTTTTTGGAAGTTATGAGCTAAAAAACATAACCATATATATTTGCCTAAAAGATGTGAACATGAAAGCAAAAAACTTGGCTTCAAAAAAATCAACATAAATTGAAGTTTGAGCCAACTAACTAGAAAAGGATCTTACAATAACTGCAATTAGTAAAAAGGCAAAATGCGCTTAAATTCAAGATCTCAATTGGCACGCATGATTTAGTAATCTAGGAGTCCAGAACAATCACAGATAAAGACACCCTTATATAAATAACCAAACAAAATGCAGATCTAAAAGCTTTAACATAAGATAAAAACATCCCGGAAACCACTTCACCTTAGATCTATAGCGAGAAACCAGTGATTAAACACTAGATCTATAAATTCCAAACCCCAAATAATTGGATCTATTAAATTACTTTCATAAACAGACAAAACAAAAAAGACAAGCCAAAAAAACTAATCAAATGCTAACAGCAACCAATAGATCTCACCAAAAAACACAGATTATTTAATAATTCCAAAAACTTAAGTTAAAAATCAAATACTAATAAATATCCAGAAAGAAAATCAACTGAAAAAGTTGAATATATAACAAAAAGACTGATCAATGCTTACACTTTCTAGTAGATGTTAGCCAGAAAAAACTTGATGATTTCTAAATAAACAAGTTGAAATTAGAATTTTAAATCATAATAATGAAAACCCAGAAAGAAAATCAACTGGTATAGTTGAAATGCTGACGCTTACCAATAGATCTCAATAAAAAAATACAATTTCGTAATGTTTATGAAAAAAACCCAAGTTAGAAAAGAGAAGTCAAAATCATATTAATGGAAACCCACAAAGAAAAACACCAGGAAAATAGAAACGCTGATACTTTCCAGTAGATCTCAGTGAAAAGAGACAGAAATCTTTAATGTTTTAGACCAAACAAAAAAAACCAATGTTAAAATCTTTAAGGAACATGAATAAGATAGTTGAAACGGAATGAAAGAAAACGAGTAAGATTCCATTAATGGATAATAAAAGAAGCGAAGGAAGATATATGGGGAAAGAGCAAATAGAAACGAGTGAAGGAGAGCAATGCTAGGACGAACCGAACCCTACCGTAATTAACGGAGGTTGAACCGGAGAGAGAACTAAAGAAGAGTTCCTTAGAGAGAGAGAGAAATGCAGTGGAGGAAGCGGCACAATTTGAAGGAGTGGAGAGTTGCCAATTTATAATAGCCAACATGGAAGTTAGTGGCTATCAAATACTGAAAAACCAGATGTGAAAACCGATTCAACTTTTCCCACGCGCCGCGCGTGGAAAATATCGGTGGTGGGTAGGTGGGTGGGCCTGACAGTATATAGGAACAGAAAATTATGCGGTTGTTGGGCTCACTATTTTTATTATTTTATATTTTGTATAATTCGGTGTGTCAAATATGTTGAAAATTTTTAAATAAGATTTTTTAATTAATTTTTTTATTTTAATAATTCTAGATTTCTAGGTATGAATTAATTCTTAAATTTAATTTTATTCATATAATCATAAAAATGAAATTTAGTAAATTTAAATCTTAATAATATTTTCTCTTATATCTAATGTATTCTCTTTTATAAAAACTTAAATAATAATTATATTTAATGAAAAAAATGAAGATACATTATATTTTTTTAATCATTAATTTTAATAAATTTAAAAATAAGATTAAGTCTTTTTTTTTAATTTGCCTCTCTCATCTCTTTGATATATTAAAATTAATAGTTAAAAAAGAATAAAATTTCACTTCTTATATTTATATAATAAATTAAATAAATTATATTAATATAAAATTAAATGAAATTTACACAAATTTTAAATTAGTATTTGTTACTATTTAGCAAGACAAATATATATAATCAAATTATAGGAATATGGTAAAAAAAATTTTAACAATATGAATAAATATTATTTCGAAACATTTGAAGCACAATTATTAAAAAATAAAACAAATTTATCTTTTTTTCTTATAAAAAAACAAAGAAAAAAATTTTATATGCTCATCAATATTAATCATTGTATTTATTGTTACATTAACTGTAATTATTAGTTAGTTGGGAAATACTAATAACTTTGTGGTTAAAAAAGTTGGCAGGAAAGGGTAACCTTATTTCTTACAAAAGAATAGGATTTGAGTAAAATATGGTTCGTGTTTTTTTTTTTTTCCTATGCATTATTTGATTATAAAATAGATTGATAATTAAATCAAACTTTAGGATTTCAATTAAACTTAACCAATATATCAAAGTTGCTAAATTTATTTTATCAACCAAATTGTAGATTGTAAATAAGAAGAATTGATCCTTCATGTTTGAGTTTTTTTTTTAAAACTATTTTAGATGAACAGAGTCTAAAGTGACATTTCAAGGCTTTGATTATGGACAAAAACTTCAAAAATCAGTTTGGCCACACCTTCTTTAATTATTTTAGTTGCAATATAAGAGAATGTAAGTTTTATATTTAATCATTCTTATGATCTCGAATACTTAAAGTTATCTAAAAATTTTGATTTTGATATAATTAAAAAAGAAAATATGTATCAGTAATTCTAAATTCTATTGATAAAATATTATACTTTTAAATATAGTGATCAAAATTCAAATTTTAATAATCTCAAATATTAAAAAATATTTAAAATTTAAAAAACACATTAAAATATCAAAAGAAAATTTTATATTAATTTATTCATTTTTTAAGAAGAATGTCAAAACTTAAGAAAGACAAGGGAATTGCAAATATCAAAATTTGTATCCTAAATTTTATAGATGACTTATTCTAAACATTATTGTATGAATAATTGATCAATTGAATTATATTTCGAGTTCAATTCATTTTGTAAAAAATTAATTTTTTTCGTTCAAAACGTAAAGGCACACAAGAAATAATTTTACATTTTAGAAATGTAAGCATCTACACAACAAATAAAATTAAGAAATTGCTTATCTTTATTGTTAAATCTAAATTAAAAATTCTATGTATTTGGAATTTTTATTAAAAAAATTATATTGAACAAAATTAGTAAAAACTCTTGAAAAAAAATAGAATGTTTAGACCTCCAAATTATAGGTGATAAAATAATTTATATTTAATAAATTTCGACGTAGCCCAATTCAATAAAGATGAGATTTAAAAAAAAAAATTTAGGTTAAACAGAAAGGATGCCAATTAAAAAAAAAAAAGTTGGATATGAGGTAGGTTTAGGGTGTTATTTTTCAACCCATTTCAAAATATTATAAAAATATAAAATATTTATTTATTTTATATTTTATATATAATATTAATGAAATTATTAAATTTTTATAAATTTTTTATTAAAATTTTTTATTTTTTATAAATATTTATTTCAAATTAATATAAATATTCTTAATTAAAATTATTTTTTAATTCATTTTTTTGTTAGTTTTATTCTTAATTATAAATATTTATTTCAAATTAATATTAAAAATAATAATTCAATATCAAATATACACGAAATCAAACGTAATTATTAATAAATTAAATCAGAGTTTGTTGTCTTTCCTAAGCAAGATGCGCTTACATGTTATCCCACGCGCCTCGAGAGACGCTGAGACCCAACCACCGTACTAGTCAAAAAGAATAAAAATTTATTTATTGGATGTTATTTTATTTCTTTTCCTTGGAGAGTGAAATTGTCACAGTGAAGCCACGTAGAGGGTTGGTGGCTGAGAGTTGTCGGGGTACCGCTGGTGGTCCACTCTTTTACAATATGGTCGGGGAAGATTACGTTTACTAATAAAAAAATTAATAATATAAAATTCAAAAAATACCCATTTATTTGAACAAATTCGATGAAACCAACTATGGATTTGTTGGGTGAGTTGGTAGAGTGGGTCCAATGAATGAAATTTATACATGCTAGATGATGGCATCCACGAACAATTTTGGATGTAACTTTATAATAAATTTATGAATTTATTTTCAAATTAGATTTTAATACTAAAAAACAAAATTAAAAAAATGCCTCTAAATTATGAATTGACTTTTGAATCATATAAAATGAAAGCAAAATATAATATAATAAATTTGATGTTGAAATTTATTATATGTAATTTATTATTTTTTAATTGTAAATTTCTTTTAATTATAACTTTGTTTATTAAAAAATCCAAGAGACGATGTGCTTATATATTTTAATAATTTTTTTAGATTTGTATGAATAGAAGTAAAAATAGCACTCCTCAAGGAATTGGTATAAAAAAATTCAGAATATTCCATTTCGAGAGTTGAGTTGCTCACGTTGTGGAAATCGATTGTAGTAAAATATTTTGCTTTGTTTTGTCAGCTTTTTGTGATTTATGGTTCACGAGCAAGTAATGCGTCCTTGCTCCCAACATTTTCCTGGTATTTCGCCCCATTTGAGTAGGGTTTTTTTTATCTTTTAATAATTTAAGGTTTTAAATTAAAGTTTATATATTTTTAAAGTTTTTAGTCTATTTTTAAATTCTTATTTTACTATTTATCTTATCGAAAAAGATATTATATATATAAATTTTTTTAAATTTGTAATTTTTACACATTAATTTTAATAATATATTAACTGATTTAAGAATTAATCAGTAATTAAAATTTATATTTGATACATTATAATTATAAAAATTTTATTATATTATAATATTAGTGAATTGAATAATATCAATTTATTAATGAAAATTTTTTAAATTAAAATTTTATGTATTTATCTTAAAAACTAGTAAATTTTTTTTAAAGATAAACATACAAAATCTTATTTTTTTAAAAAATCTTATTAATAAGTTAATATTATCTAATTTATTGATAATATATAAAATATATATACTCATAGTACATCTAACATAACTCTTTAAATTATTTATATTTAAAACATCAAAATCATAGTTCGAAACCAAAACCTAATCAAATAATGGAAGATAAAATAAACTTTTGCTATATATAAAAAAAAAATCAAACTCAAAATTTTTCATTAGTGTGCTTGGTTGAAAAAATGAAATAGTTTAAAGAAAATGTAATTTTTTTTCTGTCCATTACTTGGTAAAGTTAAAAATGAAAAAAAAAAAATTTATATAATTTTGCCATTATAATCTCTTTTAAATTAAGATAAAAAGAAAATTCTAAAAATGATAAACAATCTTATAAATATACAATAATTATTTACCCCTTTTTTTAATTATTTTCTTTCAATTTGGAATGATATGTATTTATAAATAATTTTAGAAAATGATAATTTTTCTTATTTTGTTTCCTTTCATTTTTTTTTCTACAGAGCCTACTCAAAATTTGTATTTTCCATTTTTCCACCATTCCATATCCATCCTTTCGTTTTTCCTCAACGAAGCATATCCTAAGGTTTGTTTGATTAGAATGATGAAAAAGGATAAGGATGAAAATTTTATTAATTTAATAATTAAGTTATAAAATAAAAAATTTATTATAAATTTTAATTATTAAATTAACAAATTTTTTATCTTCACATTTTTTCGTTATTTTTACAAAATAAAATCTAAAAATTCAGCACTTTACCTAACAAATCACACGACTTTTGCCTTTCTTATTTAATGTTGTTTGTCAATTAATGAAAACAATATATAGAAAAGAAAGGCATTAATCTGTGAAAAATTTCTTAGATAATAAGAGAAATTATTTGATTCATTAATAGAATTTTTAAATTTTAAATGAGATTAGTAGGATAATATATATCTTTTAAGATATATTAAAAAAATAAAACAACATATTAATTTTGTGAAATTAAAAAATTCATAACAAATTTTAAATAATAATAAAATGACTATAAAATTGCATCAATTTAAAAATAAGTTATAAATTTATCCATTATTTTAAATATAATGATAAATTTGATGCTTATCTTTTCAATTAATATTATAATTTAAAATTTTTAATTTGGATATTGTCAAAATAAAAAAGTTACCTCTAAAAAAATGAAAAAAAAAAAGTGAAAGTGAAAAATAAGTAACTAGTACACGTGTGCGCGCGTGGACTCGGGGTTGGTGGGC